GTCTTAAACTGTAGGAACCCTGTTTAAAGGAAAACCAACCATTTTCAGACAAAAAGCTGCAGTCGATAAAAACCACAATCTGTGAATCAACACATGAAAACTTTATTAGGCTAAACATTTTAAAGCTTCTATCCTACAGATGTTTACGTTTTGTTTGTTTGTTTGTTTGTTCTGTGGGTCTAATGAGTTTCTTCTTTCAGTCACAAACAGCACAGAGCTGCTCTGAGAAAAGAGAGACGGAGACGGAAGCGCCAGGCTCTCGCTCAGGCCAGAGAAAACGGTAAAACATTTTTACTGACGTCACCACGACGACGAGCCGTTTTCACCACCGCTCTAACCACAGAAAGTTCTTTAGTGTTGAAGAACGAAGCTGGGGAGGAAGAGGACGTGAAGGATGAAGACAGTGAAAACTATGATGATGAGGAAGAGGAGAGGTGGGACACGTTAAAGGTCAGGTTTTGATGAGCAGCGGGGACGTTCTGATTGTTTAATCCTGGCTTTGTTCGTTGGTTTCTCAGGCGGCGGGAACACGAGCGCTGGTTGGAGCGAGAGCGGCAGGCTCAGGAGGAGTTCAGGCTGAGGACGGAGAGGGAGGAAGCTGCCAGGAGGAGAAAAGAGGAAGAGGAGGTAATCACCTGTGGAGGGGACAGATGGACTCACCTGTCTGTATGAGACACCTGGTTATTTTACTAACACAGGTCTGAGGACCACAGGAACACCGAGCGCTCCTGAGCCACACGAACTGAGCTCTACCTGGTGTTTCCTGCACAGAAACACAGTTTTAACACTTCTAAACACTGAGCAGTACTACGAGTACAACTACATGTATAAACACTGAGTAGTACTACGAGTACAACTACATGTATAAACACTGAGCAGTACTACGAGTACAACTACATGTATAAACACTGAGCAGTACTACGAGTACAACTACATGTATAAACACTGAAAAGTACTACGAGTACAACTACATGTATAAACACTGAGCAGTACTACAAGTACAACTACATGTATATACACTGAGCAGTACTACGAGTACAACTATGTATAAACACTAAGCAGTACTACAAGTACAACTACATGAATAAACACTGAGCAGTACTA